TACCGCGAAGGGTATGATGGAAGTATTGGAAAGGAATCATGGTGTACGCACATTTCCGACTGTACATTCCGAAAAATTAAAACATTTAAAAGAAAAGCTTCTCAAATCTCCTTTAGTAAGTGAGGCGAAATGCGAAGAGTAGAGCCAAATATACTGTTGTTCATGTAAAGCTTGTAGTCATACGCCATAGAGGTTAGGAAATACCTAAATTGCTGAAACAAACGAATGTGTTTCAGTAGTCGAGCGGTATTTTGAGTTTTTACCTCCACATATCCTTCTCACATATCGGATCTGTTTGAAATATTTTCGTTAAACATTCTACAATTGTTCTTTCTTACCTTTTTAGGGGAAACTCGTCATCTCTTCCTGTCTAACGCATCTGTTGTTAAGGTCGAACGTTATAACTGTTACTCGTTCTATATTTTTTTTTTCGTTAAAAAAGACTTCTAGTTATTATTGTTGTTAACTTACTGCGGATTTAATAATCCTTGTATATCTATCTTGTCAGTTCTTTATATGCTCATCATGATTTTCAGGGACTGCTCTAGCATGTCCATCTCGTTGCACGCGGTGATTACAATCGTCTCTTTAGCTAGTCTTCTTCATTGTGCTTATTCTGCTGCTCAGGTAACTCGAAGTTACTTATCTACTCACACTCACTCACTTAAAATTTTAAGCATCGTTCATATCTTCGTCTCACCGAACAACCTTTCGTCTCTCTTCCTGCCGACGTCATTTGTCAGACTTTGGTTTCACTTATAGTTCTGATCTACGGTGCTTCGTACGTTGCTGCTCCTTTCCAACAAATCAAAAGCGATCCAGTGAGATACAACGCTATTGAAAACCGAATTGAATGAACTTTCTTCAGAATCGTGAACGAACATGGGACGAGGTGGCCAGTTGTCTTTCCTTCGCCATTTTCAATCATCGAGGAAAAGCCATGTCCCCTTATTACAATCCCGAAACAATCCAGGAGTAAACCGTCAGTTGTTTCAATGATTGTTTTCTAACGATGATTTATGACGACTTTAGATCTTTCAAAATCTTTGCTCAAGTCCCAAATTAGTTTTATTAATATTAAACCTTTCCATTCGTCCTTTGTAGTTAATTATTCTCAAAATCCTGACTTCTCTCATCTTCCTGATGCCCGGTTAGAATACATTAAGAGAGATGATACGTTAATAAAATATTTTACAGATTACCAAAGTCGAAAGTTCGCGATCGTGTAAGACCTTTAGAAATAAGTAAAGAGCAAGCTTTAGACTCTTTCAAGCACTGTACTGAGGTTTTCAAGTCGTGCTTGAATTTTTAATATTAAATTATGTTTTAGCTCATTCGTCGAAATGATGTTGACAACTATTTATCTATTCTTATTATGCCCAAGAAGGTCCAACCTGAGCTAATCGCGGTTTGAGAA